TTCTGTGTCCGTGAGGCTTACGCCTCAGACCGCCTCGAAGCTTACGCCTCGCCTCACGGACGAAAATCGCCTCGAGGCGCAGTTACGCAATTTTAAACCTTGTTACCTAGTGAACTTTGTAGCTCATTATATAGATTTTAATGATTTCAGGTCAAGGAATGGGTCAGAATCGTGAGCAATGATACTAATAAAGATTGTCATGTTCTTCTTTAGATTTTGTTATGCATTTCCTTCTATTCTTTTGTAGTTAAGAGCTTGTAATAGATTAGTAATTGTAATGATCTCCTAGCTAGTGTAATATCATTTTGCAAATGAATAGTGAAAATATTTTGATGTATATGATTTAAATTGCTTTCGCTAGTTAATGTTTATATTGATGATTTATAAAAACTCTGGTAGAAAAATATAGGAAAATATATCAAATTTAACTATCACGCATTTACTTCAAAAAATTATAGCTTCCAATTTAACCGATAAATATACGATATATTATTATTAAAATGCTCATATTGACGAGATCTATCATATACCAAAAGTTACACAGTGAAAGTTTTATCAATATAAATCATCCTCATTTTTAAGTAATGGAAACACAAATGTGATCGAAAAAAATACCAAAATAACAAATTGTTGAAATCAAAATATGATAATGGTTCCTTCTAGTGAGATGAGCAAATATCCCAACAAGACCAACGAACAAAAATGCTCTACAGCCTCCAAATCTAACCTTTTCTCTTCTCTCTCCCATATTTTCTCTCTAATTCTCATTTTTGTTTCTCTCATCAGCCAAATGAAGGGAATTCAAAAGGATTTAATGTATTAAGATGATGGAGTAAGATATTTGTAATAAAATATTAATATAATATAAATATAATTATATAAAAATCTTTTGGGGCTTTACAAATTAAAAGAAAATCCATAAAATAGCTCATCATGTTTTAGGAACACTTTGGTTGAAAATTGATTTGGCAGAAAGAAATCTGACGGTCCCAATACTCCACTTGTAGCTGTCAATTTTTTAAAGATTTGCACAAAATAACAAAAAATTATAGAAAAATTATTATAATTAAAACATAATAATATTAGTATTATGGCGAAGACGGTTTGTGATTTGGACATATGACTCCTAAACAAATTATTTGTTTGGGTCAAAATATAAGCTATTACATCGGGCAACATCTCAGAGCAAACATAATAAAATTGCTGAAGCAATTGATATATCTCTATATGCCTTGATGAGGAGTTGTTTATTGTGACATGTTCTTTGAGAATTAAAGCAAACATTAGAGTGGATTCCTTCCACGAATGCAAAGGTGAGGTTCCAGAGACCACGTGCATCACAACCTTAGATTTGCTTGTAATGTTGTTGTTAGCTTGTTGGAGTAGCAGTCGTAGCCTTTTACTTGTTCATTCCAAGGAATAAGTGCTAGTTCGACGTGTAGTTCGACAATATAAATAGCTCCCACATCGAACTATCATGGCTTTTCCAAAATAATTTGGCAATGTCCATATCCAATACATCACACAAGGCTTCGAAAACATATTGTTACGCAATAGAAAATGTAACCTGACACTTTTCAGATGCCAAAATATTCATTCCTTTTTTTGACCCAACTAATCTTGTACGAGTGAGGACGTTTTGTGGTTTTAAATTGCAATGTATAAACCACATCGCGAGAAATAATATTTTCAATATAGCCTCTATCAATGAGTAACTCTCAAACTTTATCGTTTATGGTACATCTTATTCTGAAAATCACATTTTACCAAGAGTTATTTGATTGTCAAGGCGTCATGAGTAGCTTCTCTAAGACACAAACAAATGGTTCTCCTTCATCACCAACAATATCTTCATGTTTTAGATCTCTTTCAGGATCAACCACATCTAGTTCTTTTTCCTCTTTATCTTCCACAAATTATAACGGTTGCCTATTTGGGCATTCATTAGATTTATATCCTTATTGAAAGCATTAGAATCACTTGATCGTAGTGGGTTTAGAGTATGGATTTTCTTTAATCCGTGCTTTCAGTTTTGGTTGGTTCGTTTTGTAATAGCATTTGGTTGCCATTGGTACGGCTTAATCCAAGCTAATTTGGCGGCAGCTTCATTGCAATGGGGCCTTGCTTAACAACTTCAAACAATTGCTCAAAAGAACGACGATGTAATGCATTATTGCAATAGTGCCGAGTGAGCTGAATTTCGGCTTTTAGAGCAAAATTTACAACTTGCAACAAAGTCCATACTGAATTCAATTCCAACTTATCTTGAATAGCATCTTTTAAGCCGCATATGTATTGAACCACCGACTAATTAGTGGTTTTGTTTAGATTATTCCTGGCACTTAGGCAATAAAAGTCCTCGGCGTATTCACTTAAAGATATATTTCCTTGAATACAGTGTTAATACTTGAGTTACAATCACTGCTCATAATCAATGGGCAGAAAATGACCTCGAATGAGTTGTTTCATTCTATACTAGTTGTGTACACGCCCTCTATCTTCCCGCCTACGAGATTGGAGAAGTTGTAGCCACCACACATATGCACCTCCCTTGAGCCAACTGGCGACATATTTTACTTGTTTCTCTAGTTCGATTTCCATATACTCAAAAAATGTTTCAACGACTCTCTCCCAATCTAAATAACCTTCAATATATAATCTACCATAAAAAAAAAGGTAATGGCAAGCTTCACACGAAATTCACTATGGTGTCTGTCATATACTCTAGGTTGCCGACAGTGATTGAAAATTTCTTCACCATCCAAGTCTAACACATTAGCATGATTGAAATTATCCACATCATCTTAGGAATCAGTGACTTCCAGGAATGCAGACGTACGCTTCTGATCACGATCCACACACGTCTTCCTAGCAGACGGTGTGGTTGTTGGCACTACTATATGATTGATTTGGTGAGCACCTAACCCCTTTTTGATGGCTTGTAACCCACGCCACATCTCTTCAGAAAATCGAAAATAACTCATAGGCCATTTGGTCAAATTGTCTTACCATACAAGCATGTGCTGCCCAGAGGGCCTCCAGATTGCGATCATTGTCGTTGGTCTTGCGATTGCTACAATTGGCCATTCTTGCTCAGCTTCTAGCTCTGATACCAGAACTAAAGCAAGAAGAAGATGCAGGAAAGTTGAAAACAGATAACACATGTTTAAACACCCAAAGATATCACATATTCTATCTTTCTCGTTTACTTAGACTTTGATATATATTCATTATCAAGATGCATATTGCAACTTGCAGAAAAAAGGTCCAAACAGCTAAAAGTTGACAAATTAATACCATAACTGAAAAAGTAAAACTATAGTAGTGGAGAGAAAACAAAACGGAAATAGCATGGGAGGTAAATTATCCCTTCATGTGTAAAATGCCCGCATCAGATATCATATCTTACAAAATACATGTTGAACTTGCATGCACGGATCAGTCTTCTTACAAGCATCCAGCAAAAATTACACTTTTTTCCCATCATAGAAATTTAAACAAGAAAAATAAAAAACAAGCAGCATGTTCCTTAGATGCCCGCATTGAAATAATCATTGCAAAATAAAATTCCATTAAAACAAAGAAACAATAAAAAAATAAATCAAATTGAGACTGGCAGCACAAACCTGAGTCACTGCAGGAGCAGGATTAAGCCCCAAATCCATCAGCGTCGGAATCTCGCCGGGCTCGACATCCCCTCTCGATGGAAGCCCCTTTATCTGATCTAGTGCCTCTATAGTCTTCCTCACATTCAAGCCCTGCACCTTTTCCCTAAACCCACCATAGTTCGACGGCATCTGCTCCAGCTCGAAGGGCAAATCATCAATGTGGTACAACGTACTCCCCCAAAAGTACTTCACCTCAACTCCCTCGCTCTCCATCGCCTTCTCCACCCTCTCCTCCGTCCTCGCCTCTTCATGCGACACCTCTCGGTGCATGTAAACCGCATCGGCGCCAACCAATCGTGCCAGCTCAACGAGGACGCTCTCCGGCCGGCCAATCCGAACTACGAGATCCGATCCCCGCGCGCGGAGGGAGCGACGGAGATCAGCGACGGACTGTAGAAGAAATGTAGCACGGTAGGGGCCCGTCTTGTCGAAGCCGGAGGAGGATTTTCCATAGTCGCGGGGGTCGAAGAGATATACAGGTAGAATGGAGAGGGATTCATTACTAGCCGCAGTAAGTGCTTCATTATCGTGTGTACGAAGGTCGCAGCGGAACCAGAGGAGGGTGCATCGGCGAGCGGCAGCACCACCAGATGGATCTGCAGGGCGGCGGCGGAGAAAAGGGGAAGGTGATGACAGGAGGGCGGGGGTGGAGGACGAGAGATTTGAGGGACGGGCTGGAGTAGAGACGCTGGAAGCAGAGAAAGAGAGGCGGGTAAGGGAGAAGATCTGGGTCGGGATCTTGAGACGGGAGGGTAAGGCCGCGAATGGTTGCGCCGTCGCCACCGGCGGCGTTGGCTTCGAGAGGAGGAGGTTGGTAGAGAGCGAAAGGGACAGCGAAGCAATCGGCGGAGAGGATTTCGAGGGCGAACTCGTTATCTCCTTCTGCTGCTCTTCGGAGCTATCGGGGGTTTGGGGTTGCAGAGGAGAAGGATCGGTCTCCATTTCTAGCTGAGGAGAACTGAGCAGAACTGAGATTGGAAGCGGAAGGAGAAGATCGAGTGGCTTCCATTCTCTAATTCGGATATATAATAAGGGAATTTGCATACATAACATAATATTTAATATTTAAAGTCATTCTATTTATATTTTCATTTTTTTATTTTAATTTTAATTTTTAAACTTTAATGCTTATTCATATAATATAGTGAGCCGAGTTGGCTCATAATCTGGCTTGAACTCGACTCTTTACCTGCTCATGAGCTGAGCCATGAGTTCGAGCTTGAGCTTATACTAAAACTTGTATATTGTATGAGCTCTATTTTAATCTGGCTCGACTTATGAGTTTGTAGAGCCAATTGTTTAAATTTAATTTATACCAAATTTTAATTATTTCTCGGCCCTAATAATTTTTGAATAAGTACTCAAGTTCGAGCTCAGTAAAAAATTAAACAAGTTTGAATTTATTAGGTAAATATTCGACTTTACTCGATAAATTCACACCCCGAGTCAACCATTACAAATCATTGATCCTGTGACCAATGAGATCTTATCTCATCTTCGTCACTTCCTCGCTATCAAGGATAGACTATCACATATCGTGAGACCCATCACAGGCAAGATCCCCATCCAAATCCTAATGTCAGTCGGGCTAACAAGACATAAATAAATAAATAAAAAAGAAATCTAATTGAATATCCACATGTCCACTTTACGTGTAAAGATTACTCCACATAGAATAATTTCTCTCATTTGGAATAATTTTTCACTTTTTCATTGCTTTGCTTTTCAGATCACAATGATATTTCATATGTGCCATTATTTTTTTGCTGCTTTTAAAAAATTTTGTATTAAAAAATTACGTTTTATAACAAATTTCAAAATAATTACAAAAAAAAAAAACTATCCTAAATGCATAAGTGATAAGTCTAAGGTTTCTTGATTTTATTAGAGATATTAATATATGAATAAAATAATTTTAGGTGATTTGCATTGAAATCCTCCAACATCATTGTGACGTGTCAAGTTGTTATTCGTTGTAAAAGTGAGAAGATGTTGTGGGCCGAATACAAAGATGGTGGGGTCCATTCAATACACCTACCCAATAACCAGCTACCCTCTTCCTTTCACCTACCATTGAATCTCCGGTTTTAAATTTTATCAGGTAGAATACGGTTTAATATTGACCTGTTTAACTGTTTTGGTGCTGTTAATCTATACCGGGTCCCATTAATATTGCTCAAGCCTGTGGACTTGTTAATGGGTACATGGGTAGTTGAGTGTGCAATTGGGAAAAAATCATGTCTAAGGTATGCGATGTAAATATTTATTATTTAATTTAATAAATTCGCAAACTATAGCTAAAAAATTATATCAAATATAGATTTTTAATAAATAAGAAAACTTGATTTTGATTTGATTTACAATAGTGTAATTAAGGGTGTGAACGAGTCGACTAAAGTCAAGTATTTGTCTAATTGAGTTAAACTCATTTAATTCTTATAAAGCTCGAGCCTGACACGAGCTCGAATTTGGCTTGTTCAAAAATTACTAGGAGCGCACTTGAATATACTAACAATTAAAAATACTTAGTATATTTTATTATATTATTATAAAATATACTCTAATTTAAACGAGCAGTTCAACAAGCATATGAGTCGAGTTGGGCTGAGCTCGAGCATATGCTCCAACTCAAACTCATGACATTTGGAGCGAAGAAAATTAAAACGAGAAATGTTGAAGGCTTTAGTTAAAATGTCTGCAATCTGGTCATGAGAGGAAATGTGTTGAATGCATATATTTCCTGAAGCTATATGTTGCCGAATGAACTGAAAATCGATCTCAATGTGCTTCGTCCGAGCATGAAAGATCGGATTCTTGGCTATGGCTATGACAGAAATGTTATCACAGTGAATGATCGTTGGAGACGACTAATCTAGGTGAAGTTCAGCTGCAAGCCGTCTTAGTCAGATAACTTCAGAAGTTGCTGCTGATAGGGCGCGATACTCCGCCTCGGTGGAAGATTTCGCCACCGTGATTTGTTTCTTAACAGACCAAGATAGAAGATTGGGTCCGATGAAAGTACATATGCCGGAAATGGACTTACGGTCTGAAAGGTCCGATGCCCAGTCAGCATCGGTGTAAGTCTGGATAGTTGTATCGCCGGGCGTGATTGGTAAGCCAAAGGTAGCTGTTCCTTTGAGATAGCGAAGTATACGTTTGAGTTGGATGAAGTCGTCTGTGGTCGGAGACTGCATGTGCTGACATACTTGGTTGGTAGCAAACGAGATGTCCGGCCTGGTGATCGTTAGATATTGTAAAGATCCAGCCAATCGACGATACATTGATGGATCGTGAAACAATTCAGTCTGATGCTGTGAATGCCTGTTGGTCGGAGTGATGGGTGTCGGGCACGGTTTGCAATCAGCGAAGCCCGCTTCCTGTAGAAGTTTGGAGACATAGTGTTCTTGATGGAGAAAGAAGCCGTCGGAAGTGCGGCTGATCTGGATGCCGAGAAATAGATTTATTTGTCCCAGTTGTTTGAGAGCGAACTGAGAGCGAAGATCGTGAAGGAGATTATTGATATGAGTAGAGCAATTTCCTGTAAGGAGAATATCATCAACATACAGTAAAATGTAAAGAAAAATTTGTTTGTGATTATAGATTAGTAAAGAGGGATCAGAGCGGCTAAACCCAAATCCACGGGCTTGTAAAAACGTTGTGATTTTCTGAAACCACTGTCGCGGCGCTTGTTTGAGCCCATATAAGGATTTGTGAAGTTTGCATACAGCGTCGGGTTGAGTTGGATCGGTGAAGCCGCGAGGTTGTGACATGTAGATGTCATCTGGTAAATCACCGTGTAGGAAGGCATTGGACACGTCAAGCTGAAGCATAGGCCAATTGCGGTTAACAGCAAGTGTGAGTAACATGCGTATGGTGGTCATCCGAGCAACCGGGCTAAACGTCTCATTGTAATTTTCACCCAGAACTTGCTCATAGCCAAGAGCCACCAACCGTGCTTTGTAGCGATCTACTTGACCATTCGGTTTGAGTTTGGTCTTATAAGTCCATTTGCATCCTAATACCCGGTGATTATTCGGTTTTGGAACCAACGTCCAGGTCTTTTGTTTTAAAAGCGCATTGTATTCTTCTGTCATAGCATCTTGCCAGTGCTTGAGTTTGGAGGCTTGATTATAAGTTGTTGGAGTTGTCATGACACTGGTGTTGCTGAGGAGAGTAAGTAATTGGCGGGGTTTTGAGATCCCCGACTTTGATCTGGTCTGCATAGGATGATGAGGTCGAATCTGAGCTTGGTTATTCTGTGAATTGCCGTTGAGAGCCTTGTCTGTAGAGGTGTCAGCCGGAGTAGGTGATATAGACTGAGGAAGAGTTGAGGGAATGGCAGACTCTGTATTGGCGTTATTAATAGATGTTGTAGTAGCCGAGACCGGTACGAGAAGAAGCGGAGAAGGTTGGGTGGTGTTAGTCGGATGAAGTGGAAGACTGGTAGTATCATTTGAACGAAGCGGGAAAATTGATTCGTGAAATTCGACAAGACGGGAGATGTATAATTTGTGGTTGGTAAGGTCGTAACATTTATACCCCTTGTGATGTGGTGAGTAACCCACGAAAACACAAGGTAGAGATCTCGGTGCGAGCTTGGTGGTGGTATACGGTTGCAGCCATGGGTAGCAGAGACACCCGAAAGTTCGCAGATGGGAGTAGTCAGGATTTTTGTTATGAAGTAGTTGATAAGGTGATTTAAGGGACAGAGCAGTGGTGGGGAGATAGTTAATTAGGTAATTGGCTGTAGATACCGCATCAGCCCAGAACTGATCAGGGAGATTGGATGCGATCAAAAGTGCGCGAGTAAGTTCCAAGAGGTGGCGATGCTTCCTTTCTGACATGCCGTTCTGTTCAGGTGTGTAAGGACAGCTGAGTTGATGTTGTATGCCATTGTCGTTGAGGTAGGCGGTGAACTCTTGATTAACGAACTCTCCGCCTCCATCCGAACGGAAGCATTTCGGTGTAGCAGAGTATTGGGTTTTAAGAAAACTGCATAATATTTTAAATTTAGCTAAGGTCTCATTTTTGTGATGGAGAAAGTAAATCCATGAAAACCTCGTATAATCGTCAATGAAAACAACGTAATACCGAAAACCATTCAAAGACGGAAGTTTCCTCGGACCCCATACATCTGAATGTATAAGTTCGAATGGATGGGAGGTCGACGAAGAACTTCTATTAAAAGATTGTTTATGACTCTTGGCCATATTACATGCTTCACAATGAAAGTCAGAGGGTAAAGCAGAAAAATTCGAAATGTTGTTAGCTAAAGAATTCAAGATGCGATTGCTGGGATGGCCGAGACGGGCATGCCAGATGGACGAGGAGACGGTCGTTGCTTGAAAAGCTGTGGAAGACATCGGAGGAGCAACTTGTAGCATGTAAATCCCGTTATGCAGACGTCCACGAAGAAGAGGCTGATGGTTCTGCAGATCCTTAATTTCAAAGCCATTAGAATCGAAAGTAATAGAGATGGAATTATCAGATGTTAATTTAGATACAGAAAGTAGATTATGTGTAAGATCGGGAACATGGAGTAAATTGCATAAATGTAGCTTACGAGACGAATCCGGCAGGGGAAGAATCCCCTGGCCATAGTTCTGTATTGGAACAGCTGAGCCATTCGCCACAGAGACAGATTCGTGACCGTGATAAGCCGTGGGATATTGAATGTTCGAGCCATCCGTCGTCATGTGTGAGGAAGCACCGGTATCAAGAACCCAAGATTGAGGAGCCAGTGGCGTCGGTTGGGCAAGAAGAGCTCGATTTGTAGGTGTGGACGGTGGAGCATAAGAAAGATTACACCGATGCCAACAGTTATTCGCCGTGTGACCAATTTTACTGCAAATCTGGCAGATGGGGCGGGTGTTAGTAGCTGAGACTTGCGTCGATATGGGTTCGTTGGTGTTCGGATTACGAGTGGTGTTGTTTCGTTGCTTGTTGGGACGCTTGCTGTTCTTGTTCCGCATTTGATTGTAGGAAGTAGCGTAGTAGGCAGCCGTCGTCGCAAGCTGATCTTTCTTGATGTCGTGATTAACGTGTATCTCCTCACTGCAGAGAAGCGAGTAGAGGGCGTCTAGGTCCGCAGGGAGTGAGGAGGAGCAAATGTAAGTTTTGAAAGAATTATAGGTGGCGGGGAGTCCATTTAAAATATAGAGCGTGATGTCCTCAGGGTCAATCTTTGTGCCGGACGCCGCAATGTTGTCAACAATGTTCTTGACTTGAGCAAGGTATTGTTGCATAGTTTGATTGTTCATTTGGATATGATGCAACTCGTTCTTGAGTTGAATAACGCGAGATCGACTGGTCGACTGTAACCGGCGTTCAAGAATGGCCCAAACTTCATGCGCCGTTGTGGACGTAATGACATATGGTAGAATGGTCGGAGAAATTGTGGAGAATAGCGCATAAATCAAATTGTTGTCGACTAGTCGCCATTGCGCGTGAGCAGAGGATGTGGAATCGGGCGGAGGAAGCGTTTTGCCTGTGAGGTGATCGGCATAGCCATTCGCAGAAAGATGTTGAAAGATCTGTGTACGCCAGATAGCGTAGTTGTCCGCCGTGAGAGTATTCGAAATCAAGTTCTTGATATTTGAGATGATGAACTTGAGAGTCGTCGGAAGAACAAGTTCTGTTGTTGATCCGGCGATAGTGGAAGAAGTGGGAGGAAGAGTGGAAGAAGACTCTTGATCGCCCATTACTGGCTATCTGATACCATGAAGGAGATTCTTGATCTCGAGGGAGCTGACAGAGAAGGTAGGAGACGGAGCACAGGGAGAAAGAAAGAAGAGGGAAAATACTATATTCAAATGTAAAATGAATTTACAGTATTTATAGAGCTAGTTTACATGTTGTGTAAAATGAGCTCAAGTACAAAATAATAAATGTGTTCTCATTCTAATACCTATCTCATCTTCCACACTTCCTCGCTATCAAGGATAGACTATCACATATCGTGAGACCCATCACAGGCAAGATCCCCATTGCAATCCAAATCCTAATGACAATCGGACTGACAAGACATAAATTAAAAAAAAAAAAAAGAAATCTAATTGAATATATACATGTCACACAACTCTCCTTGGCCTATTGGTTGAGAGCTAAGGCTTCCAACTAAGAGGTCTAAGGTTCGAGTCTCTATGTATGCGTTGTGTGTGTGAGTTTGCCTTAAATGGCCTAAATGTCCCAAAAAATATATATACATGTCCACTCTACGTGTAAAGATTTCGCCACATAGAATAATTTCTCTCATTTGGAATAGATTTTTTATTGCTTTATTTTTCAGATCACAATGATATTTTATATGTGCCATTATTTTTTTGCTGCTTTTAAAAAATTTTGTATTAGAAAATTACGTTTTATAACAACTTTCAAAATAATTACAAAAAAAAAAACTATCCTAAATGAGCATAAGTGAAAAGTCTTAAGGTTTCTTGATTTTATTAGAGATATTAATATCTGAATAAAATAATTTTAGGTGATTTGCATTGAAATCCTCCAATATCATTGTGACGTGTCAAGTTGTTATTCGTTGTAAAAGTGAGAAGATGTTGTGGGCCGAATACGAAGATGGTGGGGTCCATTCAATACACCTACCCAATAACCAGCTACCCTCTTCCTTTCACCTACCCTTGAATCCAGATTATAAATTTTACACAGGTAGAATACGGGTTGATATCGACCTGTTTAACTGTTTTGGTGCTGTTAATCTATACCGGGTCCCATTAATATTGCTCAAGCCTGTGGACTTGTTAATGGGTACATGGGTAGTTGAGTGTGCAATTGGAAAAAAAAAATCATGTCTAAGGTATGCGATGTAAATATTTATTATTTAATTTAATAAATTCGCAAACTATAGCTAAAAAATTATATCAAATATAGATTTTTAATAAATAAGTAAATTTGATTTTGATTTGATTTACAATAGTGTAATTAAGGGTGTGAACGAGTCGACTAAAGTCAAGTATTTGTCTAATTGAGTTAAACTCATTTAATTCTTATAAAGCTCGAGCCTGACACGAGCTCGAATTTGGCTTGTTCAAAAATTACTAGGAGCGCACTTGAATATACTAACAATTAAAAATACTTAGTATATTTTATTATATTATTATAAAATATACTCTAATTTAAACGAGCAGTTCAACAAGCATATGAGTCGAGTTGGGCTGAGCTCGAGCATATGCTCCAACTCAAACTCATGACTTAATAAGCTCACTTCACGAGCTTATTAACAAGTGTCTTAGAGTGTTTTTTTATGTTAATATATTAATGTAATTCAGCTGCTATCATCTTCCCAATAACTGACAGTTGTGTAGTAGCAGTGCTATCAGAATGCAAAGTTCTAGAGATTGAAGATGACCAAGAGAAGAAAGGCTTTGGTGGTAATTCCAAGTGGTCTGCATCTCCTTCTATCATCTGCACAACTTGATTCATAGAAGGTCGATCAGATGGCCTTATTTGAATGCACCAAAGCCCAACTAAGTACAGCTTCTTCTCCACTTCATTCATCTCCAAACTCTCAAATTTGATCTCTTCCTTAGCTTTATAACTCAGCTTATCATATATCAAAGAAGGATAATAGTTCTGACTTGAACTATCAGCATTGGTGTCAACATTCCTTCGACCCGACGCCATCTCAATCAATAACATTCCAAAGCTATACACATCTGATTTATGAGATATGATTCCAAAGTTCCTTGACACGAGCTCTGGAGCAATGTATCCAATTGTTCCTCTTGCAGCACTGACGGAGACTACATTATACTCCTTTGGGTATAGCTTTGCAAGCCCGAAATCTGAGACCTTGGGGACGAAGGTTTGATCTAAGAGAATGTTCTGAGGCTTGATGTCGAAATGCAGAATGGTCATGTCGCAGCCGCGGTGAAGGTAATCAACACCTCTAGCCACACCAAGAGCTATGGTGTTAAGTTTCTGCCATGAAAAGCATCTATTTGAGGAGAAGATGTATTTGTCAAGTGATTTGTTAGGCATGTACTCATAGACAAGTGCTGCTTTTGAACCTTCTGAGCAGAATCCGACAAGCCGAATGACGTTCAGGTGGTGAATTCTTCCAATTGTGGAGACTTCACTGATGAAGTCATCTCCATGGCACTTGGAATACGCAGAGAGTAACTTAACAGCTACAAAATGGGAACCAGGGAGCTCGCCTTTGTAAACTGAGCCGAATCCTCCTCTTCCCAATTGTTCTTTGAAGTGTCTTGTGAGGGCAATAATGTCTGTATATGCATATCTTGTTGGCGAGAGGCTTTGCTGGGCTTGCAGAAACTTCTCCACAGCATCGTCTGATGACAAGATTGTCCAGAATTTATGAGCAAGGAAGGTCCAGAGAGCTAATGGAGCAAAAACCAGTCTTCCTATTATCAGCAACACTGTAAACAGAAACAACATAAGCTTCTTTATTATTTGTGGACAATGAAAATAAACAGTAAAATTAATTATTCATGGCTTCTTAGTTCTTCCTTACCTATCACAAGATGAACAATCTCTATTATAACTATAACAACTATTGACAGGCGGAAAATCAGCTGGAAATGGCTGTTAAACCCAGTATAATCTTCAATGCAGGCTGGAAAGTGCATCTCAGCCTTAAAAACTGCTGGAATCAACGATAGAAACTAGCTGGATTCAAAATTGTCATGAAACATGCTGGAATATGTTCAAAGATCAGAAGCTGTCCATGGAAAACATATAAGAAACTAAGGCTTTGTTTGGGGAAAAATTATTAGGTCCGGTCACCGGACCTATCTCTGCGTTCGGACACTAATAGAATGTTGACAGCTGGATGTGAATTTTTTTAAATATAATTTTTTAATTAATGTATATCATCCCCACCCGACCCGACCAGGCCCAATATTTTTTTCATTTTAAAAGTATGGTTGACGCTATCTTTAGAAACCCGCCAAAGATCTAAATATTTATCGCTTTTGCTTGGTACTGAAGGAAAAAAACAAGCTAGAATATTGCAAAAAAGAGATGGAATGCTCTCCGAAGAGGGAAAGAGAGGGGGAAGGGTTGCATGAATCGGAAGTCAAATAGCTGGAACTTCTGCAGGTTTCAACATATCTGTAAGTTTAAATCTCATCGCCAATAATATATTGACAGTAAGAATATACTTCTTGAAAGTTATAAAACAAAAGTGTGTAGAAACAGGGAAACAATTGTTCAGCAGATTTCAGCTCATTAGAGTCTCAGCTTCTTCGAAGGTCGTTTTAGGTTTTAGGCGAAAAAGCAAAAAAACTTTTGTTCAGCTGTCATTAATGTTTTAATTTACATAAGATAGAAAACATAACATCATGTTTCGTAGTGTTTGTAAAAATAAGTGCGCTTTTATTGCACTTTAACTGTGCTTTATGTGCGCTTTTGTTGTGCTTTATATGAGCTTTATTATCTTCGTTTCTTATTTTAGGCTGTTTTTAAAGATGAGAGAGAAGCATATGAATGTTATTGTACTTATGCCTATGATAATGGCTTTATCGTCCGGAAGAATCATCACAGTTTCTGGCCAAATTCTAGGAAGATAAAATCCAAAGACTTTGTCTGTTCAAAAGCTGGTTTCAAGAAAAATATTGATCTTAATTCAAAAAAGAAATTTACTAAACTAGATGTTAGAACTAGATGTCCATCTATGGTGAGGTTTGCAATTGATGAAGATGGTTACTGGCATGTCAAAAAATTTATTGAATACCATAACCATGAATTGGCTAGCCCAGCCAACCAGCACCTTCTAAGATCATGTAGGAATATTGTTGAGGAAAAAGCTTCCATCCTTAAATCAATGACAGATACAGGGATTAGAACCGTTGATGCATATGCCTATCTTGCAGAGGAAGTCGGAGGATACGAGAATGTTGGATTCTCTAAAAGGGATGCCTACAATTTTATTCAGAAGGAGAAAATAGCAAGGATTGAATATGGTGACACTAATTCTTTAATTCAATTATTTAAAGATCGACAAGTTGATGACCACATTTTCGCATGGAATGTTCAAATTAATGAGCATGATAGATTGTTAAACAGATGTTCAAATTGATGAGCATGATATTTGTTCAAATTGATGATCACAAATAGCTCTGAAAGTGGTTACGTAGCAACGAGAAGTAACAGGCCGTTGTTAAGGCATCTGAAAAGGCAATTAAAATAAATATCTCTTAACTAAAGCGCACACAAAGTGCACACAAAGCGCACACAAAGCGCAAGTAAAACGCACTCAGAGCTTACGTAAAGCGCGCAAAAATCTCATAAAGTTCATATACAACAATGCCTAAGCCCTGGATAAAGTTCAACCAAAGATCAACATAAAGCGCACATACAAAATAGCTTAGTTTAGGGTTTAGGTTTTAACAAAATACAAATGAGCATCCTATTAAAATAAGCGCAAGTAAAGTGCAAGTAAATGCGCAACAAAGTCGCAAGAATGGTGTAACTTCTCTCGTACCTTTACTACAGATTTTTCCCAACTTCGCCTGCCATCGACGAGCTCCTGGAGAATGAAAATGCCGAAGTATTTAAAGAACTGCTGAGAACTGATGTTAGAGAGTGTGGCAAGTATGGTCGAAGCTTTCTTCCCGCCTTTTGGTATTCATAATTTCAAATAAATCGTGTTTTCAGGCAGGGTGGGTCGCTCGGGCTGATAAGACATAAAAGAAGAATAATACAACAAAAAAAATTCCACGTGGAAGTTCCAACTGTCAACTGTCAACATTCTATTGGTGTCCGAATGCAGAGATAGGTCCGGTGACCGGACCTAATAATTTTCCTTGATTGGGACGGCTTTCTTTAAGCTCTTCAAGCAACTTTTTAGTAGAAAAAAATTTAATTATTGTACTAAAAAGCTGCTTTAAGAAGCAGTAAGAAAGACATCCCAAATAAAACCTAAAAAACACAACTTTGTATCATGTCTTTTCTTACCTGGATGAATCTCGAAGACACCTTCTTATTAGCATGGATGTAGTAAAACCATGAGTAGACCATGATAAAGAAAATCCACTATGAATGGCTTGAAATAGATCCAAATGGCTTGAAATAGTTGCAGAAGTATCAGTTGCTGGCATCATAGACAAAAGGCTACAGGAAGGTGCCAGATCTGTTACTAAATAACCAGAAACAGCATAAACAAATGAATCTCCTTGACTTAAGCAAGGAAAAAGCTGATAATTCAGAGAAGTTAGCTTCTTCGAACAATTCATTAAGCTAATCCAATACCAAGACTCTAACTGATAGTATCTGGATCTTGAAACAGAACTTGCTCCAAAAGATTTGAGGGGAAGACTGCAGTTGCTTCGTAGCAGGCCAGTCTCAATAACCTGGATAGTATTGCCTGCATAATCGATGTTCTTCACCAAGAACTGAACTGACTGGAACTCCATGAGAGTTCTGTTGCCACTGCAGGTGAGTTCATAGTTTGGATCTCCACATTTTGCTGGGTCTCCTTTCAGGCGAAAAGGAAATTGGATCTGAAGACCTCCACATGATGAAATATTGCAGAGTTGTTGATCTTGAAGGCCTGCTGCAAATCCCATGAAAGAGAAGAAGAGAAAGAAGTGGATGATGTAAATACCAAATGATAATCTCCACCATCTCATTCTGCTAAAGGAAAGAGAAGAAGCTAAACTTCAACAGGTAAAGAATTTAGCAGAAGAAGAAGAAATCATCAATGTGGGAAGAAAACAAGGAATCATAGATTTCTTTTTTTAATTATTTTGTAGTTTTCATCGCACAAAGACTCCCAAAAGATGTGCTTTAAATTGATTTGACACAGATGTTCCAAGTCCAACTTGCCTTCTGTTGATAATGACCATTTCAACCACAAGCTATTTCAAGGGACCACTGTGAAAAAAAAAATTGTTCCTAAAAGTATTGATTTCTGTACTTATTTAATGAAAGGGTTTTTGGAGCATATAAAAGAATTATAATTGTTTTGCTCAGGTTCTTGCTCAAATTACAACATATATGCCTTCTACATAAAGAAAAATTAGCTTTCAATGGAAAAAATATGATCTAATCTAATAAAATCAAATCAGATCACATCTGCATCAAATAACCAATATGTAGAGAACACTTATATACGTCGAGTTTAGATTGAATTTTCTGACCCGTTTATCAAATGGGTTAAATTTGAGTTGACTTACAAATTCATTTCTCATCCGAAAATAATCACTTTAATATCTTTCTTTTCTTATTTTTTTTTTTATTATGGATATAATCTTTCAATTTTTTATCAAATATCCTAAATTTTATAGTTATTAAATTTAAAAAAAAAAACTATTTAACAAAACATATTAACATGTTATATTTAGGTCACTCAGGTTGTTAGAGGATCGGATCGTTGACCCATTAATAATCATGTCAGATTCGAATCGGGTCAATTTCGGATCAGATTAAAATCCGACCAGCCAACCCATTTTAACGCCCCTACTTTATTTTTAAACATGTTCATAACTTTTTTTTATCTCTTTTAGGCGCCCCTCTGGCTTATTTCCAAGAACAGAAGAAGATAATGGAATTCAGTTTGTATTGAAATGGCTGTTATCGATAGGCTTTCAAAAGAACAAGAAGAAATATCGTCTATCAATTTCAAAGAAAACAGTGAGAATTCTTTCATCTAGTAAGGTCAAAAATTACAGCAAATAACAAAAGAAGAAAGAAAGAGAGTTTGAACAGAATAAACAACAACAACAAAATGCCTTTATCTCACTATATGAGATTTAAATGAATCTTTTTTCTTCATTTTGAAAGCACTGGTTTTCTTCTCCACCTTAGAAAAATTGTTCCAAGTAGCTTCTTGCCCTCCCACATGGCTTCCTAAACCAAGATTTTAGATTTTAATGGCTTTTGTAGTATTCCTTTTTCACTAAGCAAACAGATTTTTGGGGGCCTTGGGTGTCACGACCCAACCCGATCGGGATGGGTCCCGCTCGCATCGGGTCGTGATGCCGCGCTCAAAACTGACTGAACTGATTCCAGGATCTGGCTTTGGAATTTGTTTCAGAACTTTCTTCCAAACATACAGACAGAAACAGACGCACACACAGAGCTTCTAGAAACATCAAATGCAGCGGAACAGATCATCTATCTTTTTCTTCCTCAAAAGAATCATATACAAATACAGCTCATGGCTTTCAGACAGAAAGAAAAGCAGAACAGAAAAGCCATGACTGTACAAAAATCAAAAGGACCAAATACCTATAACGGATCAGACTCTGAACTTCTACTCCTGAACTTCCTTCCCTTTCCCAGAACCTGAAAACCACGCAGAAAACAAGGATGAGCTACAACAGCTCAGCAAGACAACAAACCTCCAATCAAAATCCTCATAGTCCACATCAAACACATCAGACAAAAATCCGAACAGAAATCAGAATACGGAACTGACAGAGCAAAACAGAATGAATCAAATCAGAACAGAAATCATACAGATCGCATCAAATCAGAACAAAACAGAAATACATTACATCAGAGCTGACAAAACATACAGAAATCAGAAATCAGATTAAATCATATCAGATCAGAAGTCATATCAGAACAGACAGAATCTTACGGAAATCAGAGTCAGATCATATCAGAACAGAACAGAATCGTATATCAGAATCATAATACAGATCAGATCAATTTATATCGTACGGAAATCAGAAATCATATCAATTCAGCACATATAAAAAATCAGAACAGATTCCCTGACACTGACAGAATCTCAACGGATTCTGACCCCTTATGCCTCCCTTCCCAGACACTGACAGAATCTCTCGGATTCTGGCCCCTTATGCCTCCCTTTGTGCTCATGGCACCAGGACATATGTGCTTATAGCACCAGAACATAACTTATCATCGGATCCGGAACTTGTATTCAGAAACATATTTCAGAGCTCATTTCAGATTTTTCCCTGACACAGACAGGATCTCACAGGATCCCGACCCCTTATAACTCCCTTTTCATAGCACACAATCAGAGCATGTCATTTCAGAACAAATCCGGACAATTTCAGAAATCGTACGAAAATCCGGCAGCATAACAGCAGTATACGGAATTTACACAAAAATTCACCGAAACAGAATTTTTCCAAATTACCACAGAACATTCACAACAACATTATAAACTTTTATTCTACTGCCCAGACAAATTCAGAAATTATCAGAAATTACAGGCGAAAGAAAACACCGCCGAATCAAAATTACCCGGTCAAAATTCTCCAGAAAATAATCAAAACGTGCACACTCGGCACTTCAATAACATACCAAAAGTTACGAGGTAAAAACTGAACCAGTCGGAAAATACGGACAAAATTCGCTAACGAAAACGAAATCCGGACAGAAAAATTGTTCAAACTTCACCGTTCTGAAAATTGAAAAAGGCGGAATGTGCCTTACCTTGCGTACAACACTTTCTTGAACTGTTTCGTCGGACGAAAACGGCCCGGCTTCGCCCGAAAAGCAACTTTTCCAAATTTATCCTCGACCTTCTCTCTCCTCAAACTGAATATTAGATATTTTTTATTTTCTCTTTCTTGAAATTGAGCTGATTTCAGCTTAAAAATGCTCTGATCAGCCCGGCCGATCGCACGATCGTCCTGGACGATCTGACAAAATTCCAATCGGCCTGGGACGATTTCTCAGGACGATAATTAATTTCCTGAACGATTTGCCCTCTGAATTTTGCCATGAACTGGTCGTCCCGGGACGATCCCAGATCGGCCCGGACGATCTCTACAGGAAATCATTCCTGTAACTTCTGTACAGATTCTGGAACAAATTGTGAACTGATCGTCCCAGGACGATCCATGATCGGCCTGGATGATATGTACAGAACTGCTGTTACATTGGGGGCTTTCAGGGCGGCGCAAGTGCTGCTTGACCGGGCGACTGAGGAGAAATTATTCTTTGCGGAGACCGGACACAAAACACCGTTCGGAGACCAAGAAGAATGCGCCACGTCTATAGTACCGAGCCGAAGTACAGAGCAAGGGATGATGTAGCGCATTCTGATTGGTCTCTGAATGACGTTCAGCATCTGCAGAGAATAAATAATCGTGACTGAGGGCCACCATTTCTCCTTTGCTTGTGCACACTGGAGCTGTGAGCTGTAGCTTGGCTAGATCATTTTTAACGGCAATAACTTGAGCTCATTAAGCATGAGGATCTCAGCTTTAGTCAGTTCTGAGACTTTGCCTTGCTTCTCAGCACCCTTGGTACTGACGCCTAGTAAAGAAGTTGCCTGAATGGTAGAAAGATGAAAAATAACTTCAATAGGCTAATTGCAAATTGAGAAGTAGAACAATGACTATTGCATTACGTATGTTCACAGTGGGATGCTAATCCTGTGACTCTTTAAAAGTTAACTAACAAAGTTCTTGATGTGAAACTATCCCATGCGAAAATGATTTTTTTTTAATGAAAGTTTGCACGCTTAGATTTAGAGGCAATAATAGGCAAGATCTTATGCGGAATTGAACGATAAGATAAATATTAAAATGCACTTAGCTTAGGTTAAATCACATGAATAAAAGTTAAGTTCAAAAAGATAGCCAACTTAATCCGACATTGCATACATGAATCGTTCCAACAATAAATTCCAATACTAACAATAAGATTAGTCTATGAAAGATCCCTCACACAACTCTTCTAATTACTAGGCTTTAGCGGAGAAGAATTAACGTGATCGTTATGAATCTACTAAGACCACAATTGAGTAGTAACTACGAAGATAAAAGAGTCGGAGAAAGAACTTTACCCAAAGAGAAGATACGTGGCTGCGGTTGGGACTCCTGAGCAGAGACAACCTTCGGCTGGATTGGTTGGAATGGATTTGGAGGCCTCCAAAACAGCAAAACGAGGATTCTAGGAATACAGGATAGCAATTTCCTGTTTCTGGACTTCGGGACAGCAGGTGGAGTCTTCTCTAGATGCAGAATTCTCTGGAATAGTACTTGGAGGAGTGCTGGTCAGCAAATAGGAGCAGATCTGGCAGCACCATGGCTGGATGGAGTTCCCGGACAGCAGTTTTCTAGGAGGAAAAATTGCTGGACAGCAATTTGGAGCAGGTTTAGGAGCCTCGTTTTGAATTTTGAATCCCCCAAGTAACTTAGAAAAGTGGGAAAATCATTCCTTATGAGAAGTTGATTGAAGCAATTTGTGGGAGGTGATTTAATGAGGCAAGAGAGAGAAATCTGAAGTTTTAATTTCAGATTTTCCAGTTTAATTTCAGATTTTGCTTAGGTGGCAAGTATAGAGAGAGAATAAGGCCATGTATTGGGCCGCCATGCAAGGGAGAGCAATAAAGGAGAAAGATTAATTAGTGGGCTAAGGGAGTTCAATTTAAAATCTGATTTGTAATTTCAGATTTATTAATTTAGGAAGCGTTTTCTAATAAAAGAAATCAGTGATTTGAAATTGTGAATTCAGAATAAATGAGATCTCCATTAAATCTTTCTTAAATATGGGGATTATTTTAGAAAGAATAATTAGAGAAGTAAAGGCGCTGGAAATCAAATTTTGAGCATTGGGGGTTTCGGCGCGGATTGCCTACCAGGAGGAAAGGAGTCGTGCTGATTGAGGGAGGGCGGGGCCTTGCTGGGGCCGGCGGCTGGTCCAGCCAACGGCAAAGAGGGGGGGGCGGTAGTGGGTTCAGCGCTCAGGAGGAGATCGGGAGGTCGGCTGTAGGGAAACAAACTGAGGGGGGGAAGACGGGTTTCCGGGATTTGCTGAGGGAGGAGGCGGGAAATGGGGGATGGGTG